ACCCTCAGTGCTGCTCTCTCTGACCTCTCCCTTCTGCCTCTCTCTCGCGCTCTCCTCCTTTTTCATGACACTGTCTTCAACGCTGCCCTCCGCTCTATCCCTCGCTCTTCCTCTCGGGGTCCACGGAAGTGCGTTCCCTGGTGGAATGCGGACTGTGCTCGGGCTGTCCGCTGTAAGCGTGCAGCCTGGAAGAGGCACCGCCGTAGGCAGACGACCGATTCTTTTCTTTTCTTTCGGAAAGCGAGTGCGGTGGCCCGTAGGGCCATCCGTACGGCTAAACGTGAATGTTGGGCATCTTATGTCTCAACAATTACGTCCGAAACTCCTCTGGCCCAGATCTGGAAGCGTATCCGCAAGATAGCGGGTAAGTTCGTTCCCGATGTTTCACCGGTCCTTCACCTCCATGATACTCTTGTGGCGGACCCGTTGCAGGTCGCTTCCGTACTGGGTTCCCACTTTTCTTCTGTTAGCTCTGGTCTTCATCTTCCCCAATCTTTCCTTCTTCGTAAACCTGTCCTTGAGTCTCGTCCTTTAGATTTCTGCACTCGTCTTCAGCTTCCCTATAATGATCCCTTCTCTCTCTCTGAACTTCGTTCTGCCCTGGCCCTCTGCGGTTCTACGGCGGCGGGCTCCGATGGTATTCATTATGAGATGCTTCGCCATCTCCCTCCGTGCACGTCTCAGTATTTACTGAGTCTGTATAATCGGATCTGGGAGTCGTCGTCAGTCCCTGAGGACTGGCTCGATGCCGTTGTCCTCCCTGTTCGCAAACCGGGGTCTCTGGGTACTTCCCCTAAGGACTTTCGCCCTATTGCTCTCACAAGTTGTGTCTGCAAACTCTTTGAACGTATGGTTAACGTTCGTCTGATGTGGTTCCTGGAACACCATCACCTCCTCTCCCCTTCTCAATTTGGTTTCCGCAAGTGCCGCAGCACGACAGATGTCCTGGTGAACTTGGAGGTCTATATTCGTACTGCTTTTGCTGCGAAGACCTCCGTTGTTGCCGTCCTTTTTGACCTGGAAAAGGCTTACGACACCACTTGGCGATATCATATTCTATCTCAACTTCATTCTTTTGGCCTTCGTGGTCATCTCCCTCTCTTTCTCCGCAGCTTCCTCTCTCGTCGTTCCTTTCGGGTGCGCCTTGGTACCGCTCTCTCTGCCTCTTTTCAGCAATACGAAGGTGTGCCCCAGGGTAGTGTTCTGAGCACTACTCTTTTTCTGGTTGCCCTCAATGGTCTTCTTTCCTCTCTTCCTTCTGGTGTCTTCTCCGCTCTCTATGTCGATGATCTTACCCTTTGCTGTCAGGGTGATGATTCGCCTCTCCTTCAGCGCCGGCTTCAACTTGCAATTGATGCCGTGTCGTCTTGGGCCACCGATCATGGCTTCAAGTTCTCTACTTCTAAGACTTGTGCCATGACTTTTACGCGGAAACGGGTCGTTCTTCGTCCCTCTTTGTCACTTTATGGTCATCCCCTTGAATACAAAGATTCCGCGAAGCTTTTGGGGTTATTCCTTGACACTCGTTTGTCTTGGTCTCCCCATATCTCTTACCTCCGTGTTGAGTGCTCTAAGGCCCTTACCCTCCTTCGGGTCTTGTCCCATACTTCTTGGGGGGCAGATAGGCGCACTCTCCTTGCTTTACATTCCTCTCTCGTCCTGTCTAAGCTCGATTATGGTTGCCCTGCTTACTCGTCTGCTTCTCCTTCTACTCTTCGCCGTCTTGATGCTTTGCACCATACTGGGTTGCGCCTCAGTTCTGGTGCCTTTCGTTCGACTCCCGTCCTTAGCTTGTATGTTGACACTGGCTTCCTGTCTCTCCAGGACCGCCGTGATCGCTACTGTCTTCGCTATCTTGCGCGGTCCTTACAACATCCTTCCTCTCGCCTCTGTCGTGCTTTAACTTTTACCCCTCCTGCGGTTCCTGTTCCTCTTCACCACCTCCCTCTTTCTGTCCGGTTATCTCGCCTCCAGGATTCTCTTTCCGTTCGTATTTCTAATGTTTCTCCTCGTGTTGTTCCTTCTTTGCCCCCATGGAGAGTCCCTCTTCCGCGGTTTTGTACTTCCTTGACCCGTATCACTAAAGCTTTTACCCCTCCTACGGTTCTAAAACGCCTTTTCCTTGAGCACTTTTCTTCTCACTCCCGCTCCGTTTCTGTCTTCACCGATGGGTCTAAGTCTGCGGACGGTGTTGGCTACTCTGTTGTTTTTCCTGATCGCACTTATATGTGTCGCTTACCTCCGGAGACTAGCATCTTTACAGCGGAACTTTATGCTATTCTCTATGCTCTTCGTCTCCTGCTTTCTCGTTGTCAGTCTTCCTTTGTAGTTGTTGTTGACTCTCGTAGTGCCCTCATGGCTCTCGGGTCCTTTAATCCGGTTCATCCAGTAGTTGTCGAGATCCAGCATTGGCTGTTTCTTGTTCACAGTAAATTTAAGTCGGTTGAGTTTTGTTGGGTTCCCAGCCATATTGGTGTGTCTTTAAATGAGCGTGCGGATGCTGCCGCCAAGGAAGCTGTCCGCTCTTGTCCCATCTCTCGTAAAGGTATTCCATATTCCGACTTTTACCCGGTTATCCATTCCTCCGTCCTTTCCCGTTGGCAGGCTTCTTGGTCGTCTGTTACTGGTAACAAACTACGTACTCTTAAATGTTGTGTTTCCTCGTGGCCGTCCTCCTACCACCGTAACCGGCGATGGGAAACAGCTCTGGCGAGGTTGCGTATTGGCCATACTCGCTTAACCCATGGTCACTTGATGGAGCGCCGCCCTGCTCCTTATTGTCCTAGTTGCATTGTCCCTCTTACGGTCGTGCATGTCCTTCTTGAATGTCCTGACTTCCAGGACGAGCGTGTGTCTTGCTTTCCGACCGCCCCTCGCGGTCACTTGTCCCTCAATAGAATTCTTGGTGACTCGGATACTTTTGATATCGTTCGCCTTATGCGTTTTTGTTCTCGTATTGGCATCCTTGGTGATATTTAGCGCCCTCTGATTATTCTGCGCATTTGATGGTGCTACATAGCCTTCCCGGTTTGGTGCCTTCTTTTGATAATTACTTACTTACTTTTGATTAATGTAAATTTCTAGTTGATTAATGTAAATTTCTAGTTGATTACTGGCTGTTTAGTATTTGATTATTAGTTGATTACTGGTTAATTACTACTTGATTGCTAGTTGATTGCTGGCTAATCACTAGTTGCTTAGTCGTTGAGTACCAGTAGATTACCGGTTGATTAATGTGAGGTGCTGTTGGCTGCTGGTTGACTGCTAATTGAATACTGGTTCACTATTGGTTGATTAATATTGATTAATAGTTGATTACTGATTGATTACTAGTTGACTACTAATTTATTTCTAGCTAATTACTTGTTGACAGCTAGTTAATTACTGATTATTAGTTAATAACTAATTGACCACTGGTCGACTTCTAGATGATTACTAGTTGAGCAGGACGGCAGAGCAACGGTCTATCTTCATGCAGGTCGGCGTTCAATCCCCGACAGTTCAAGTGGTTGGGCACCATTCGTTACTTCTGCGAAGAGTCGTCCTAAATCCTTATCCTCATCCCTTTCAGTATTATATAGACATAATGACTTGGCTCTTTTTCCATGATAATTAGCTTCTAGATAATTACCGGTTGATAACTCGTTGATTACTGTTTGGTTATTAGTGGATAACTACTTAATTACTAGACGATTGTTTCGCGTTAAATAACCCGATACTAAAACATTGTTCAGAGCTGTCAAGCTTAACATTGTGCTTGAAAAATATTGTTTTCAACATCCATTGAAAGTTTCCTTTTGTTAATGTTTTATAAGTATATTTGAGGGATCACATACGAGTATGTTGACCAGACCACACACTAGAAGGTAAAGGGACGACGACGTTTCGGTCCGTCCTGGACCATTCTCAAGTCGACCATTCACAATCGACTTGAGAATGGTCCAGGACGGACCGAAACGTCGTCGTCCCTTCACCTTCTAGTGTGTGGTCTGGTCAACATACTTCAGCCCCGTTATTGTGACTCGTCGCCTGCATATAAGAGTATTATTGCAAGTTGCTTCCCATTTTTGGTTAGGTTAGGTTAGGTTAGGTTAGGTTAGGTTATTGTGGACACTGACATCAGTTGCATGTCCTTGGAGTCTCAAGTTTGATCATAGACTTGATATGTGAGAACACACTTGACCCATTGTGTCCTTGACCCATTGTGTCCCTTCTCGACCCATTGTGTCCCTTCTTGACCCATTGTGTCCCTTCTTGACCCATTGTGTCCCTTCTTGACCCATTGTGTCCCTTCTTGACCCATTGTGTCCCTTCTTGACCCATTGTGTCCCTTCTTGACCCCATTGTGTCCCTTCTTGACCCCATTGTGTCCCTTCTTGTCCCCATTGTGTCCCTTCTTGTCCCCATTGTGTCCCTTCTTGACCCATTGTGTTCCTTCTTGACCCATTGTGTCCCTTCTTGACCCATTGTGTCCCTTCTTGACCCATTGTGTCCCTTCTTGTCCCCATTGTGTCCCTTCTTGTCCCCATTGTGTCCCTTCTTGTCCCCATTGTGTCCCTTCTTGACCCATTGTGGACACTTTCACCGTGGGTGTATTCACCTAGTTGTGTTTGCGAGGGCTGAGCTCGGCTCTTTCGGCCCGCCTCTCAACTGTCAATCAACCAAGTGTTACTAACTGCTAACTAATTTTTTCCACTGCACACACACACAAAAAAAAACCATGAAGCAGCCTGCAACAGCTGTCTAACTCTCAGAAACTCTGCTTATTTTGTCTCTGCCATCACCGGGGATCGAACCCAGACCCTGGGATTACGAGTACAGAGCGCTGTCCACTCGGCTATCAGGCCCCCTGTGTGTGTGTGTGTGTGTGTGTGTGTGTGTGTGTGTGTGTGTGTGTGTGTGTGTGTGTGTCACCCCTGTGTGACCCTAACTGTGACCCCAAGTGTCACCCCTGTATGACCTGAGTTTGGCCCCGAAAGTTACATACTTCTCTCCCGCAGTGTCGACAAGGTTGAGAGGCGGAGAGCAGGCGCACACTCGCTCCTCGATAGATTTCAAGAACCCGTTGTTTGTGGACGAAGTTCCTTCTGCTTCTGATGGTGTTGGTGGTGCTGTGAGGAAGCACCTCACCGTCACGCTCAAGGCAAACTCCTTCACACTGACCCCTCTCAACCCACCCTCCTCCAACACCAGCGACACCGCCTCCTTCGACCAGGAGGTGGTGGTGGGTGCCCGCGAGTACCGGTGGCTGGTCTCCGTGTCTCCCTGCTCGGTCACCTGTGGCACCGGTAAGTTATACCGGGGTTCGAAAGATGGGATCTTGATGTAACTGACTGACTGTGTGCGATCACAGCTGCTTCTCTCTCAACCACCTCTTTCTTGGGAGCATTTCATGCGACCATTTGGCACTGACTGAAAGTGAACTCCCTTAAATGACAACAGGTCGTCTCTGTGTGTTTAGATTCCACCTGTTTTCTCGTTGTTTTTCTCTGCAACAATCAATCTTTCTCCACTTTGTTCATGATTCTTTCCTGTGGATCTGTTTGCCTGTTTAGCTGCCAGTTTTAGTCTCATGGGAAAATCTCTGGATCTTCCCATTTTTATATTTGTGTTTCGTGAGGCGTAGTTCAGTGGCTCCTGTCTTCCTCCTTTCCTGTATATAGGTACCACATTTACTACTTTCCAAATGTGAGGAAGTTCCCTCATTTCTATTGAGAAGTTGAAGACTATAGCAAGGGGCACACACAGTGCTGTAGCTGCCTCTTTTAGGATCCCTAGTGACATCTTGTCAGGATCTGTGGCTTTCATCACATCCAGCTCCTCTAATTGTTTGTTTACTTCCTCTGGTGTTACTTGCACTTCAGTCTTCCTTCTGGTAGCACCTGTACCATGAGAAGTTGTAGATCTACAGACAGTTCTGGTTCAACCTTTAAATCTTCCTGGAAGCTTTTATTGAGCTCTTCGAACACTTCCTTCTCCTTCGTTGTGTAGCCTCCTCCTCTTTTGCCTGATTATGTGGTTCATTTGCTGATATCATCATCCTAGGGAAGCCGGTGGCTGAGCGGGCAGAACACTGGACGCGTGATCCTGTGGTCCCGGGTTCGATCCCGGGCGCCGGCGTTAAACAATGGGTAGTTTCTTTCACCCTGATGCCCCTGTTACCTAGCATTAAATAGGTACTTGGGAGTTAGTCAGCTGTCACGGGCTGGTTTTTGGGGGTGGAGGCCTGGTCGAAGACCGGGCCGCGGGAACACTAAAAAAAAAGCCCTGAAATCATCTGAAGATAACCTCAAGATGTAGTTTAGGCTGATCCTTGGCCTTGGCTGCTATATCATTCTCATGCTGTTTCTTTGCTCCTTTGTAAATCTTTGTGTATTCATTCTTTTCTCTTGTATATATGTTCTCCACTGTTCTGTGTTCCCTGTATTTTTTCCAAGCTCTTCTACTTCTCCTTTTTTGCCTCTAAACAGTCTATTGAACCATGGGTAAAATTTTCTATTGGCTCCCTTATCCCTTAGGAACGGCATAAACCATTGAGCTTCCTTGTACTGCCTTGTGTTGTTTTCTCTCTTAATTTCATATCCCATAGTATTGTACTCACCTAGTTGTGCTTGCGGGGGTTGAGCTCTGGCTCTTTGGTCCTGCCTCTCAACCGTCAATCAACAGGTGTACAGGTCCCTGAGCCTATTGTGCTCTATCATATCTACACTTGAAACTGTGTATGGAGTCAGCCTCCACCACATTGCTTCCTAATGCATTCCATTTGTCAACCACTCTGACACTAAAAAAAGTTCTTTCTAATATCTCTGTGGCTCATTTGGGCACTCAGTTTCCACCTGTGTCCCCAAGTGTGTGTGCCCCTTGTGTTAAACAGCCTGTCTTTATCAACCCTGTCGATTCCCTTGAGAATCTTGAATGTGGTGATCATGTCCCCCCTAACTCTTCTGTCTTCCAACGAAGTGAGGTTCAATTCCCGTAGTCTCTCCTCGTAGCTCATACCTCTCAGCTCGGGTACTAGTCTGGTGGCAAACCTTTGAACCTTTTCCAGTTTAGTCTTATGCTTGACTAGATATGGACTCCATGCTGGAGCCGCATACTCCAGGATTGGTCTGACATATGTGGTATATGATGTTCTGAAAGATTCCTTACACAAGTTTCTAAAGGCCGTTCTTATGTTAGCCAACCTGGCATATGCTGCTGATGTTATCCTCTTGATATGAGCTTCAGGGGACAGGTCTGGCGTGATATCAACCCCCAGGTCTTTCTCTCTCTGACTCTTGAAGTATTTCATCTCCCAAGTGATACCTTGTATCTGGTCTCCTGCTTCCTACCCCTATCTTCATTACATTACATTTGCTTGGGTTAAACTCTAGCAGCCATTTGTTCGACCATTCCTGCAGCTTGTCCAGGTCTTCTTGAAGCCTCAAGCTGTCCTCCTCTGTCTTAACCCTTCTCATAATTTTGGCGTCGCCAGCAAACATTGAGAGGAATGAGTCTATACCCTCTGGGAGATCATTTACGTATATCAGAAACAGGATAGGTCCAAGCACTGTCCCTGTGGGACTCCACTGGTGACTTCACGCCATTTTGAGGTCTCACCCCTCACTATAACTCTCTGCTTCCTATTGCTTAGGTACTCCCTTATCCACTGGAGCGCCCTACCAGTTACTCCTGCCTTTTTCTCCAGCTTATGCATCAACCTTTTATGGGGTACTGTGTCAAAGGCTTTCCGACAGTCCAAAAAAATGCAGTCCGCCTATCCTTCTCTTTCTTGCTTAATCTTTGTCACCTGATCGTAGAATTCTATCAAGCCTGTAAGGCAAGATTTACCCTCCCTGAACCCATGTTGATGGGTTGTCACGAAGTCTCTTCTCTCCAGATGTGTTACTAGGTTTTTTCTCACAATCTTCTCCATCACCTTGCATGATATACAAGTTAAGGACACTGGCCTGTAGTTCAGTGCCTCTTATCTGTCACCCTTTTTAAATATTGGTACTACATTAGCAGTCTTCCATACTTCTGGTAGGTCTCCCGTTTCCAGTGACCTACTATACACTATGGAGAGTGGCAAGCAAAGTGCTCCTGCACACTCTTTCAATACCCATGGTGAGATTCCCTCCGGCCCAACAGCTTTTCTCACATCCAGCTCCAATAGGGGCTTCTTGACCTCATCACTTGTAATTTCGAACCTTTCCAAGGTCACCTGGTTTGCTGCCACCTCTCCTAGCGCCGTGACTTCTCCCTGTTCTATTGTAAAGACCTCCTGGAACCTTTTGTTGAGTTCTTCACACACCTCTTTGTCATTCTCTGTGTACCTGTCCTCGCCCACCCTAAGTTTCATCACCTGTTCCTTCACTGTTGTCTTCCTCCTGATGTGACTGTGTAGTAGCTTTGGTTCGGTCTTGGCTTTATTAGCTATATCATTTTCATACCTTTTCTCAGCTGCTTTTCTCACACTAACATACTCGTTCCTGGTTCTCTGGTATCTCTCTACTTTCTGGTGTTCTGTTATTACGGAAGTTCCTCCATGCCCTTTTGTTCAGCTCCTTTGCTTTCATACATTCCCTATTAAACCACGGATTCTTCCTTTGCTTCTCTGTTTTTTCCTGTTGGGCTGGGACAAACCTGCTTACAGCCTCCTGACATTTTTGGGTGACATAGTCCATCATGTCTTGTACGGACTTGGTTCCGAGTTCTGTGTCCCAATGTATATCCCATAGGAATTTATTCATCTCCTCATAGTTTCCCTATGTGTGTGTGTGTGTGTGTGTGTGTGTGTGTGTGTGTGTGTGTGTGTGTGTGTGTGTGTGTGTGTGTGTGTGTGTGTGAGGGCGCGCGTGCACGCTACACACTGACACTCACATGTACTGCTACCTTCCAGGCCTGGAGGAGGTGGTGGTATCGTGTATGGAGGTGAGGAGAGACGTCGGAGCCAGCAGGCTGGTGGAGGCCCTGGAGGCGTCCCTGTGCTCCCCAGCGGCCCCTCCTGCGCTGCCAGGATTTAGGAGCTGCGGTGGAGGAGGGGCGTGTCCGGCCTCGTCCCCCCACACACCACTAGACCAAACCACAGTCATTGGTCGTTGGCTACTCGGACTCCTGAACGACATCAGAGCGAGTAGCAGTAGACGTAGTAATAGTAGCAGTAGTCGTAGTAGTAATAGTACTAGTAATCTAAATACTAGGAGCTGATTCTACCTTGTTATATACCCCTAAACGTACACAGATTGTTGTTGTTGTGTTGTGAGTGGATCACAACCCAGCCTCCTGTACTAATAGTACTTTTTGCGACTATGTGGTTGTTCATACCAATATATAGAAACAGAGCCCCAGTGAACCACTTTTTGTACGTTTTTATAGAGAAAATAGTTAAAATCCAAACCTAAATATTCCTAGGCCAAGCATAGCATATACATGCACGATATTAGATTTAAGATAGTGGGTATTAGGCCTGGGTGTGACAGGTGTTAGGGCTCCTGTGTGTGACAGGTGTTAGGGCTCCTGGGTGTGACAGGTGTTGGGGCTCCTGGGTGTGACAGGTGTTAGAGCTCCTGGGTGTGACAGGTGTTGGGGCTCCTGGGTGTGACAGGTGTTGGGGCTCCTGGGTGTGACAGGTGTTAGGGCTCCTGGGTGTGACAGGTGTTAGAGCTCCTGAGTGTGACAGGTGTTGGGGCTCCTGGGTGTGACAGGTGTTTGGGCTCCTGGGTGTGACAGGTGTTAGGGCTCCTGGGTGTGACAGGTGTTGGGGCTCCTGGGTGTGACAGGTGTTGGGGCTCCTGGGTGTGACAGGTGTTAGGGCTCCTGGGTGTGACAGGTGTTAGAGCTCCTGAGTGTGACAGGTGTTGGGGCTCCTGAGTGTGACAGGTGTTAGAGCTCCTGAGTGTGACAGGTGTTGGGGCTCCTGGGTGTGACAGGTGTTAGGGCTCCTGGGTGTGACAGGTGTTGGAGCTCCTGGGTGTGACAGGTGTTGGGGCTCCTGGGTGTGACAGGTGTTAGAGCTCCTGAGTGTGACAGGTGTTGGGGCTCCTGGGTGTGACAGGTGTTGGGGCTCCTGGGTGTGACAGGTGTTGGGGCTCCTGGGTGTGACAGGTGTTGGGGCTCCTGGGTGTGACAGGTGTTGGGGCTCCTGGGTGTGACAGGTGTTAGGGCTCCTGGGTGTGACAGGTGTTGGGGCTCCTGGGTGTGACAGGTGTTGGGGCTCCTGGGTGTGACAGGTGTTAGAGCTCCTGGGTGTGACAGGTGTTGGGGCTCCTGGGTGTGACAGGTGTTGGGGCTCCTGGGTGTGACAGGTGTTGGGGCTCCTGGGTGTGACAGGTGTTGGGGCTCCTGGGTGTGACAGGTGTTGGGGCTCCTGGGTGTGACAGGTGTTAAGAGCTGGGTGTGACAGGTGTTGGAGCTCCAGGGTGTGACAGGTGTTGGAGCTCCAGGGTGTGACAGGTGTTGGGGCTCCTGGGTGTGACAGGTGTTGGAGCTCCAGGGTGTGACAGGTGTTGGGGCTCCTGGGTGTGACAGGTGTTGGAGCTCCAGGGTGTGACAGGTGTTGGAGCTCCAGGGCGTGACAGGTGTTGGAGCTCCAGGGTGTGACAGGTGTTAGGGCTCCTGGGTGTGACAGGTGTTTGGGCTCCTGGGTGTGACAGGTGTTAGGGCTCCTGGGTGTGACAGGTGTTAAGAGCTGGGTGTGACAGGTGTTAAGAGCTGGGTGTGACAGGTGTTGGGGCTCCTGGGTGTGACAGGTGTTGGGGCTCCTGGGTGTGACAGGTGTTAGGGCTCCAGGGTGTGACAGGTGTTAGGGCTCCAGGGTGTGACAGGTGTTAGGGCTCCAGGGTGTGACAGGTGTTGGGGCTCCAGGGTGTGACAGGTGTTAGGGCTCCTGGGTGTGACAGGTGTTAGGGCTCCAGGGTGTGACAGGTGTTAGGGCTCCAGGGTGTGACAGGTGTTGGAGCTCCAGGGTGTGACAGGTGTTGGAGCTCCAGGGCGTGACAGGTGTTGGAGCTCCAGGATGTGACAGAGCACCCCGGTGCTCTACTGATTTAAGAAGCGCCAAACCAATCTTAAGATTAATCAGTGCAGCTAGACAAGTAGCTGTAATTGTAGACATTTTTTATACAATTTAGAAACTTTATTATGTATATCTTAAAAAATAATTTTGTTAATACATTTTGTCATTTGCATTGTTTGTAGTTTTTGTCAATTTCATATCTTTTATTTAATGCGTTTTCGTATCCTTATATTTTATATATATAATAGAACATTCAGTAACAATAGAAGTTTGTTGTACATAGAAACTTGAGTATTAAACAACTAGTACTAATATGTAATTATTTGACGTAGAAGTTTACGCACTGAAACGTCATAGGGAAACTATTAATATTGTCAAAGCATTATTTATTCCATACTGCAACAGTTCTACAATGTTAATTGTGCAATAATCCTTCAAGACTGATCAGACTTGAATAATAATATTGGTTTAATTGAAGTCACCCAAGAAGAAACCCTTTAAGAGAAAATGTTACTTGCAAAGAAAACGAAAAATTATAACGTACCTTTTCTTAAGTTTCCTTGGGCAAGCTATTTTATTTTTTACTGTTACAGAGTTAAAGGCGATATGATTATTGCTTATACCACTTATTGACTTTGGAAAAATACATTTATTTAGAATCTTCAAGAACAAAAATATATGTTTTTCTCGCAGCTCGTAGAGAGGGTGCCAGGATCTATATAAACATGAACAAGGTATTATTTAATTTTAATGTTGTTTATAAAGTACAAAATATTTTTTTTGTTAATACACACAAGTACATACCAAAACCATTATAACAAATGTTAACATTAATGACGAAAGTGAAGCACACGTCGCCACCAGGGCGGTTCCAGAAGCACTTTATAACAACGGCGCCTGTAGGCCGCCAAGCGCTGCCTGACGCACGAACAGTCAACAAGAAACAGGGAAATGCGGCCCGGCCTTAATACACGAAGACTAATGATAGCCAAGGTAAGTCATTTATGGCCCTCAGGACCTGCAAGGTCTCCAGCAGAACCAGGAAGACGACTCGATGCAAATAAATGTTTTCATCTGATCAACGGAAGCCGCATTGAATTCTAGGCCTACGATATTCTAGTTCCCGCTGGGAGAGAGGCATCAACACCTATTATTGCTCACACACACACACACACACACACACACACACACACACACACACACACACACACACACACACACACACACACGGAAGTCCCTCTCTTGAGGCGTCAGCAAGCAACGCCTCATGGCGCCAAAGGCAGTTTTTCTCCATCGGGGCTGGGTTCGAAGTCGAAGTACCCAAAGACGGGGAAGTCGTTGAAGTAGGAGTCGAGGTCGTAGCCGTCACTTGGGAAGAAGTTGGTGCCGGTTGGTTCCTCTGGTTCTACGTCCACCTTGTCCACCAGGTTGATCCTGTAGGAGGCGGTGAAGGGTTACCACAAGCTACACCTTATTTATGGCCACCAAAATAAATAGCACCACATAGGAAATTTATCTCCAGTAGACGTAAAGCTGAACTATACACACGTTGAACTATATAACATTAACTATACACTCGTTGAAGTGTGTGTATATATATATATATATATATATATATATATATATATATATATATATATATATATATATATATATATATATATATATATATATATATATATATATATATATATTATATATATACAACATTAATTATACACACATAAATGTGATCTATACATAAGACTGACCTATACATAAAGTTAAATTATGCATAAAGTTAAACTATACATAAAGTTGAACTACAGTTAAAGATGGACTATAGGTCAAATTTAACTATAATGCTGATATATACATAATGTTGAAATGTTTGTAACGTCTATTTATATGGGAAGTTGAGGTATGTGTGACATTACCCACATTTACCCCAGTTACTGAGGTAACTGGGTAACTGTGACTGAGGTAACTGGGTATCTGTGACTGAGGTAGCTGGATAATTGTGACTGAGGTAACTGGATAACTGTGACTGAGGTAACTGGATAACTGTGACTGAGGTAACTGGGTAACTGTGACTGAGGTAACTGGGTAACTGTGAGTAACTTTAGAGCACTTCGTACCCTTGCTTAGGGAAGAACGCGGACGCCGCTAGATGTGGGTCCCGGAACTGTCCCAGCTCGTGTAGGTCAGAGAGTGGCGCCTGTGATGGTATTCTGGAAGCTGCTGCGTGGGCGGCAAGGTGGTTTAACTGGGCGCCCGGGTTCTTGAAGTTGGCGGCAGGGTTGTTAAAGTTGGCGCCCGGATTTTTGAAGTTGGCGGCAGGGTTCTTGAAGTTAGCGGCCGGGTTCTTGAAGTTGGCGGCCGGATTTTTGAAGTTGGCGGCAGGGCCGTTGAAATGGGCGGGAGGGCCGTTGAAATGGGCGGCAGGGCCGTTGAAATGGGCGGCAGGGCCGTTGAAATGGGCGGGAGGGCCGTTGAAATGGGCGGCAGGACCGTTGAAATGGGCGGCAGGGCCGTTGAAGTGGCCGGCAGGACCGTTGAAACGGATGGCAGGACCGTTGAAGTTAGCGGCAGGGCCATTGAAGTGAGGAGATGGCTTTGAATTTGGGGAAAAGTGTAGACCTGGCCGGCCTTGAAGAGGAAACGGTGAGGTTTTGGGTTTGCCGTGAGGACTGAAAGGAGGGAAAGGCTTGTTGGGGTGAAGGAACTGCTTGTTGTGGGCGTTGGGCGGGAGGAAGGGCTTGTTGGGTGGGAAAGGCTTACTAAGGGGAGTAAAGGATGTTATCTTAGGATTTGCTTGGGTGAAGTGAGGGGGACTGGGGTTGCTGGGGGCGGGAATGATGGAATTGGAGTTGGTGGAGTGGATAGTGAGGGCGTGAGCTGGGTGGGCGGGAAGGTTGGGGTTGGGGCGGAGACGGTGGTGGAAGGCCGCCAGGGGGTCCTGGGTGAGGAGGTCGGTGGAGAGGGAGAGGTGTGGAGGGGGCAGGTGGACCCCTTCCACCAACACCAACACTGTTACCTGTGTCACAGGGAAAAACAGAGATAACCTTATTAATTATCTTTCTACAGGTGAGCTATTAATTAAGCCTAAATTACCACCCGTAGATCAAAATATTTGGTTCACACATATACTCTTAGAATACACACACACACATACACACACACACAGTTCAATCCAAGTAAATGTATGGTAATGAAACTTGGCGCAGGAAATAGGAGGCGCAGGAAATAGGAGGCGCAGGAAATAGGAGGCGCAGGAAATAGGAGGCGCAGGAAATAGGAGGCACAGGAAATAGGAGGCGCAGGAAATAGGAGGCACAGGAAATAGGAGGCGCAGGAAATAGGAGGCACAGGAAATAGGAGGCGCAGGAAATAGGAGGCACAGGAAATAGGAGGCGCAGGAAATAGGAGGCACAGGAAATAGGAGGCGCAGGAAATAGGAGGCGCAGGAAATAGGAGGCAAGACACTAGATACCGAATGGGAGATTCGGTATGTTTCTGTTTTTTTCACTTTTTTCTTTGTTTCCTTCACGAAACAGAAAGATCTAGGAGTTGATATAATGCCAAATCTGTCTCCTGAAGCTCACATCAAAAGAATAACGTCTGCGGCATATGCAAGGCTGGTTAACATCAGAACTGCCTTCAGAAACCTGTGTAAGGAATCATTCAGAACCTTGTACATCATGTATGTAAGACCAATCCTGGAGTATGCGGCCCCAGCATGGAGCCCGTACTTTGTCAAGCACAAGAGCTGGAAAAAGTTCAGAGGTATGCCACTAGATTAGTCTCAGAACTAAGAGGCATGAGTTACGAGGAAAGGCTGAGTGAACTGCTGTCGGAAAACCCGACACCATTTACTAACGTTTAAAACAATAGGCAGATAACGTTGGTGCTGTTTGTAGGAAAAAATTTACTCATAGAAAATGAGGCCCAGTGGAATTTCCCTGGAAGAAAACGGAGATTATCATTGCCATGTCGCTATTAAAGTCACCAGTTATATTATTGGAAATCATTCTTAATACAGCAATTTTGGGAATGTAAACATCATAAAAACATTTCCCTTGAACCATCTTAATTATCTGAGTAAATGTGGGCCCTCTATCCACTTCTTGACAACATCTGGACAAGATGAGGGATGCGGTCAGTGGGAGGAGGGCCAGTAGTAGTCGCCATTTTAATTCAACAACAAGTCTCGCTGGGGCAAATCTAGCTCCTATAATCACCCTTGGACCAGTGTTACGGGACTAATAGCGTCCTGTCATCAACACCAACTTCGTCAACAATCAAGGGAAGTGGCCTAATTCCGAAACCTTTTATCTTTCATTCCTGATCAGTGAAATGTTAAGGCAACCCGATTAGGATATGAATCGAGATACAAAACGAGGTAATTATTATTTGGATCGCATCTAATAAATTATAACAATATTTTCTCCTGATATAGCTGTCATATAATGTCAATAATTACTATTATTGTGTGCCCTTTGACAGGTGTAATTGAAGGGGAAGAAGAAGCAGAATTACATTTACCTCAGTAACATATGGTTACAGTAGCCTCACCCACGAGGATTATTAGGCGTGGTCATCCATGTTCGTAACTGGTGGACCAGACCCACAACACTACAGATAAGGCTTCCTCGTGTATTAACTAATATATGTTGTCTAATACTGTAGTGAATGTCTACTAACCAACAACTTATATTGAAAGACTATATGTAAACCATAATCCTCCAGAATGTGAGGAAAATGACTCGTGGGATTTATATTTATTTAGTTTATATTAATTTATATTGCAATTTATATTTTACGTTGTTACATATTTCGATAGCAAACTGTATGATGTTTATGTATATATATATCAAGTGAATTCTATAGCTTTACTGCTGGTTCAGAGCAATTAAGTATAAGTAGAACAGACTGTTAATATGCAATATATGAAGCAAATGAAATAATATTGTATAAATGCAAAGATTGATCGACTGGGCAAGTGCAACACAAACTAAGCTATTGAGGATTTATCTTCACTATAAGTTCCTTCAACTACATACCGGTGGAGGGATTTGTTGTGGCTAAAATACATACTTTATATAATCCATCACAATTAATGTCCGAAGAAACCTGTATTTAATGGAATGTGATTTTGTCAATGAAAAAAAAAGGTTTTGAACAAAATTTGTGCCGATTCCATTTCATGTTTGCGTTTACGGAATCATGTTGTATGTTCAGAGTTTGAAAGCTTATCTTTGTAAATCGATCTCCTTGAACACTTTTCTTCTCACTCCCGCTCCGTTTCTGTCTTCACCGATGGGTCTAAGTCAGCGGACGGTGTTGGCTACTCTGTTGTTTTTCCTGATCGCACTTATATGTGTCGCTTACCTCCGGAGACTAGCATCTTCACGGCGGAGATTTATGCTATTCTCTATGCTCTTCATCTCCTGCTTTCTAGTTGTAAGTCTTCCTTTGTAGTTGTTGTTGACTCTCGTAGTTCCCTCATGGATCTCGGGTCCTTTAATCCGGTTCATCCAGTAGTTGTCGAGATCCAGCATTGGCTGTTTCTTGTTCATAGTAAATTTAAGTCGGTTGAGTTTTGTTGGGTTCCCAGCCATATTGGTGTGTCTTTAAATGAGCGTGCGGATGCTGTCGCCAAGGAAGCTGTCCGCTCTTGTCCCATCTCTCGTAAAGGTATTCCATATTCCGACTTTTACCCGGTTATTCATTCCTCCATCCTTACCGTTGGCAGGCTTCTTGGTCGTCTGTTATTGGTAACAAACTATGTACTCTTAAATGTTGTGTTTCCTCGTGGCCGTCGTCCTACCACCGTAACCGGCAATGGGAAACGGCTCTGGCGAGGTTGCGTATTGGCCATACTCGCTTAACCCATGGTCACTTGATGGAGCGCCACTCAGCTCCTTATTGTCCTAATTGCATTGTCCCTCTTACGGCCGTGCATATCCTTCTTGAATGTCCTGACTTCCAGGACGAGCGTGTCTTTTGCTTTCCGACCGCCCCTCGCTGCCATCTGTCCCTCAATAGAATTTTTGGCGACTCTGATACTTTTGATACCGTTCGCCTTATGTGTTTTTGTTCTCATATTGACATCCTTGGTGATATTTAGCGCCCTCTGCTTATTCTGCACATTTGATGGTATTACATAGCCTTCCCGGTTTGGTGCCTTCTTTTGATAATTACTTACTTTGTAAATCGATTAGGCAATGAGGCCTATAATGAAAAAATACAGACTGAGAATTTGGACTCTCTAATGCGCAAGTCCGTCCTCATAAACAAAGGGCAAAATCAATTTTATGCACCCGTCAAGCTCCGTTAATGAATGAAAAACTGTTTACACACGAGTTACGACTTATGTCGTTCAAACACTTTTGGAACAAGTGCTTCACTGACGAATTTTTTTCGAATCACAACGCTGTAAATGCTTCACCCACGCATTTCAAATACAAATAATCGCCAACAGAACCTAAACACCTGACCTAACCAGTGCCTAAATTTGCACAATATGCTAATATATAATTATATTAATTTATATTTAAGAAAATTCCTGTTTGAATCAACATGAGGTTAAAATTGATGAATGCGTCTTTGGGGTCGACCACTGGATGGATTGGAATTTGTCGAATGTGCACATTTTGATTATTAAAACATACAAATTAAAATGATTACATTTGATTTATAAGAATTAAGAAATGCCCAAAGGCCTGAAAACTACAGTAGTAAAAGCTATTGTAAGGTTAGCACAACAACTGGACCAGACAATGTGATTTAGTTAAGCGGGCATTCGCCTTGGCTATAGACACATCTGGCAAGTTAGTGAGGCTGACCCACTATCAGAACGTTCAGCTTGTAAACTTGCGTTAAGACATTCACTTGAGTAATGTTATTGATTGTCGTACTGTAAAAGATTTTAGACCTTTAGCATACTGTACAATCAACAACGTAACTACTACATCAAATGGAGTTGCGCCCTAGCTCCGGTGGGGTGCGGAAGTGTTGCCTGAACTCTCTGGCAGTTGGTGGTGGTTTGCCAGTTTGGCCGGTTGGGGGCGTGTGTGTGTCTGCCCGCCTGTGCTGACATGGAGTTCACGATGGGGGTCCCTTTTTCCCCCTGTAGTGCAGGCTCAGTCTGTGGGCCTCGAATTTTCTGTACGGGCTGGGTACCCGGAGATAGGGCTGGTGTGTGATTTGCTTTCTGTCCCTGTGATGGACATTTATGGAGTCGAACTGGTAACAGCACGTTGGGTGATTGTGAAGTTTACGGAGGAGTTGGCGTATCGGGAATTTCTCCGTCGATACGAGGGGTGGACCTTACCCCTGCCGGATGGTGCGGGCACTGTGACCCTCTCTGATCGGAGTGGTGCCCTCACTTTCGTCAGTGTACATGGGGCGCCCTTGGAGTTTCTGGAGGGTTTGCTACAGCGGTACTTCGGCTGTTTTGGTGTTGTAGTTAGTGTGCAATTGCACATGATATCTTCTAGTCTGCTCAAGGGTGTGAGGACTAACATTAGCACCCTGGCATGCGGCTCCGGGCAGACATTCCGTCCTCTGTGCGACTTATGGGATACAACGTTCGGGTGTTTTACGCCCGCCAGCCTCGGACGTGTTATCCTTGTGGCCTCATGGGTCATCAGGCTGCTGACTGTTCTGCCCCTGCCATTGCACCCGTGAACCTCTGCAGTAAGGAGGATTTTCCACCTCTTCCTGTGGAGGAGGCTTCGGTGGATGTGGACGTCTCTTCAGCCATGCATGTGCCCCCTGTGTCGACTGTTGTGCTGCATGTTGCGCCCCCTTTTGTTGTCACCTCTCCTCCATAGGTTGTGTCATCGCCTGGTGATCGTCCTGCTCCAGCTGGTGTCCCTGGGGTTCTTCCGACTACCTTCTGCTCAAATCCCTCGTCTTCCAGTTCTTCTTCTGCTGCGTCTGTTAGGTTCTGCGTCTGACCCTGTCCCTGCACCCTCGCCGTCTGTTCCGGCTGTGCTGGGTGCTGGGGTGGATCCGGCACTTCCTCCTGTGCCTGGCCTGGTGCCCCATGTGGTTGAGGATGCTGCCGTTCTACGACGTGCGTCAGTTCGCCCGGCTTGTGTTGTGCGTGTCTCTGAGTCAGCCTCCGGGTCTGATGATGTGCGGTCAGAGCCTAAGCGTTCCCGGCGTTCTTCTGCATGAGCTGACGTTGGCGACTTCGACGGTTGTGGATCTTCCGGCGACGGCGGGGTGGCTCTGGTTGCGTTGCATACTACGGTGGTGGCGGAGGTGCATTTCCCTGCAGGTGCCGGTGTTTCGGCCTCCTCTTCTGGTATGGTTATCTTGAGGTTATCTTGAGATGATTTCGGGGCTTTAGTGTCCCCGCGGCCCGGTCCTCGACCAGGCCTCCACCCCCAGGAAGCAGCCCGTGACAGCTGACTAACTCCCAGGTACCTATTTACTGCTAGGAAACAGGGGCATTCAGGGTGAAAGAAACTTTGCCCATTTGCTTCTGCCTCGTGCGGGAATCGAACCCGCGCCACAGAATTACGAATCCTGCGCGCTATCCACCAGGCTACGAGGTCCAGGCTATGGTGTCTGCGGATCCTGCTTCGGGTGCATCGCCTGCATCGGATGGCTCCGGTTCTTCGTGGGGGGGTGGTTCCCCCTGCTGAGGTTCGTGTTGAGCGAGGTGGCCTGGTGGTGGTGTTGAAAAAGGCTGCTCACTCTGGGGGTTATGTAACCCCTTCCTCGTTCCCCGTTTCATCGACGGCGGTCTCGACGCCTCTTCCATCTCCGGCCGTCTCTTCAGTGTCTCCTGCGGTCTCGGTGGAGGTGTTACTATCTTGTCGACCGTCCCCTGCTCCTGTGCATACGGCGACGCGGCCGTCTCGGCAGCCCTCGTACACTTCTTCAGTGTCGTCTGCTTCCTCGACGGACGTGGTTTGCACTCCCGAGCCTCGTTTTGCGACTTGCGGCGGTGAGCTTCAGGAGTGGGCATTTCCGCCTGATCTGGTGATTCCTGAGTTTATGCAGGGCCCACGGCGGCAGGGGGATCGTCCCCCTACCAACATGGAATATTTGATTTGGGAGGCCTATAAGCGAAAGTATCCTTGGGATTCGTTCCCCGAGAAATATGTTCCTGTCTCTGAGAAATGTAGTCCGCACCTATGATTCCTTTGTATATTGTGTGTGTGTGTGTGTGTGTGTGTGTGTGTGTGTGTGTGGGTGGGGCGGGTTTGTTCCCGGTTCCTGCGTGCTCCGGTTTGTTGTTGTGGGTTTATTTGTGAGGCGTGTGTGTGTCCGGTTCCTGTGTGGTCCGGGGTTTGGTTAGTGTGTGTGTGTCTGGTTGTGGATGTCATGTTCTTATGTTATGTTTTTGTGGTTCTATGTTTTTATGGTGCTGTTTGTTCGCCTGTTTGTGTCGTGTTGAGTACCCTTCAGTCTGTTGGCATGACCCGGCCTGGGTTTGTGCTCTGTCATGTTTTGCCATTGTGCTTTTCTTTTTGTTTGTTATATAATTGTATTTCCTTGTTATTATTATCGTTTTGTGTTTGTGCCTCTCCATGTGTGTTTGAGGTGCTGGTAGGCTTGTTCTGTATAATTAGGTGCTGGTGTTTCATTTCTGTTTTGTATTCTGCTGTATTTAAATTTATTGTTGTTTTGTTTGTAATTATTGTTGTTTTGTGGTCGGCCCTTCCGGCCGTTTTTGTTTAGTAATTGTGTTCCTTTGTACTTTTACAAGTTTGTTTTTTGTCATTTTGTACTTTTGTTCTATGTTGTATTTGTTTGCTTTTATTGTACTTATAAGCATGCTTGCATGTAAAAATAAAAAAAAAAAACTTCATCGAATCCTGTACGTTGGAAGACATCCGAACCATTTATAGTAAATTTTCTTGTCCTGAAATAGAAGACTTGCTTGTTACCGGAGCATCATTGCCTCAAGTTTTTGTTATGGAAAAGTAGTGAGGATATTGTACCAAATTGCCTCATCCCTGTGGATGATTGACAACGTGGCCATTGCTGTACCCTCGGGTAGAGGACGACTTCGACTACACTGCAACCATTTTACAAAACAAATTTCGATAAGAGAATGTCTGTTCGAGGCTGGGGTCCAGGCGATTGTAGTTAGAATCACGTAACTTTCCCTAGTGAAGTGGGGTTGTATGACGAGTTTCAATAAGGTGGTTTGGGTCAACCCTTATGCCTGTATTTAAAGAGGATTGACTCTTATTGCGATATCCAATGAGTCCTATGAAATCTGAAATGTGCGTTTGATAATATAGTGATTTTTAATTGACTTCTCGACTGTTGTCGACGTTCGGTGAACGTCAATAACTTGGGTTTAACGTCGATTCAACATCGAAAATGTTGACTTGACGTTAAACAAGCATGTTTTGCTGGAGAACAGGAGGGAGAGTGTGAGCGGGAGAGAGACCCGACCGTGACCAGGTACCCCCTTTTGTGTGGTTTGTGTATATATATACAATATGTCAGTGTCAGACCACGATGGAAGGATTAAGATAGGAATTTCCTTAAGTATTTTTGTATTTAATAATACATCTTCAGAAGGATTTATTATTAAATGTATTCTGTATTAAATGTATTAGTAGGATATCTTCTGAAGCTGTATTATTAAATACGAAAGTACTTAAGGTAATTCCTGTCTTAATCCTTCCTTTGTGGCCTGACATTGTCACATTGTTTATCACGGGTTAGTTAATTTCTTCGTGATTTACACACACACACACACACACACACACACACACACACACACACACACACACACACACACACACACACACACACATATATATATATATATATATATATATATATATATATATATATATATATATATATATATAGAAATAATATAGATGAATACCCAAGGGGGGATAACCTAATTCGCCTGCCTCCTCCAGCAAAACATCCATCGCAGAAATGGTAACGACAACACATTGGAAACGTACAAAATCAGAGCACAAATCACCAATTAAATTGAAGAGGGAAATACCGCAAGTGCTATTCGAGTCCTCACCAGTGACGAGAAAATTGCTGTTAGAAATTCTGCCACAGCACGAGCCCTGCAAAGCCAGCACCCACCCCCACGGTGCCCTACGAGTCGACAACATCGTACCGCCTATTAACTGACCCATTAACTGAGTTCAAACCCATTAACTGCTGGTGAATCTGAGGTCTGTAGAGCAACTCTTTCTTTTCCACCTGGGTCAGCAGGCGGCTTTACAGGATTAAAACCTCAACACATCAAACAAATGTTCAATCCTGCAGTTGGTGATGCTGCTCAAGATCTTCTTATGGAATTCACATGGTTCGTCAACACGTGCCTGGCTGGTGGTATACCTGAGGTCATCAGGCCCATCTTTTTTGGTGCCTCCCTCTGTGCTCTCAACAAGAAGGATGGGGGAATCAGGCCAATCGCAGTTGGCAACACTCTCCAGCGCCTGGTTGCCAAGGCTGCTACGAGGGTTGTCGGCCAGCAAGCGGCTGGATTGCTGAAACCAATTCACCTAGGATTTGTAGTCCCCCAAGGCTGTGAAGCGGCTACTCATGCAGCACGAGCATACATCACCAACATTTCTGACGAAAAGGCCCTGCTCAAACTGGACTTTAATAATGCCTTTAACATGGTCAGAAGAGATGCAGTGCCCTGTTCTGTACATCGCCATTTCCGGCCCCTCTACCCGTTCATTCTGTCTTGCTACAGTGGTGAATCAAGGTTGCTCTTTGGCGAACACGAAATCAGATCACGTGAAGATGTTCAGCAAGGTGATCCTCTAGCTCCTCTTCTGCTTTGTCAAAAAAAAATCTCCGAAAGTTTGTCCAGCGAGTTCAACATCTGGTTTTTAGGTGATGGCACCATAGCTGGCCACCTAGATCACCTCTTGGAAGATATCAGAAAAATAAAGGAGCAAGAAGTAAGCCTGGGTCTCCTGAACTCTTCCAAGTGTGAAGTAGTCTCCTCCAACCCAGACATCGTAGCTAGAATAAGGTCTGCCTTGCCTGGAGCCCATGTCATTAGGGCTGTGAAAAGCACTCTCCTTGGAGCCCCCATCGGGTCTAACGCCATTGTGGATATCCTTGATTAGACAATCATAGACCTCAGGAGGATGGAAGACAGGATAGGTGACATCGATGCCCACGATGCTTTGTATCTCCTCACTAAATGCCTATCCCTTCCGAGGCTAACCTGCTTTCTGAGGTGCGCCCCATCCTATGACAGCCCATAGCTTGAAAAGAGTGACTTATTACTGAAGACCATGCTAGAAAAAGTTGTCAACCTCTCCCTCAATGAATGCCAGTGGAAACAAGTCACTCTTCCTGTTAGGCTCGGCGTCTTGGGTTTCCACACCGCCACCCAAATTGCTGTCCCAGCCTTGATGTCTTCCTCCTCAGTACCAAATGACCTGGTTAAGAAAATTCTACCTGACAACCTGTGTGACTTGGCACGGATACATGACTCCCACTAACCGGAATGTGACACAAAATGGGGTATCATGGCAGACCCAGCACTCAGAACAACCATGTTGAAAGCAAAGAAAAAGTCTAGCTGGGACAGCCCCATTGTAGACAAAGAAGCCAGTGTTGCCGGAGGCAGCAATGAAACCCAGTGATCATGCACGCATCACAGCTGTGCAGGCTCTCCATGCAGGGAAGTTCCTTTCGGAAGTTCCTATGTCTGCGACAGGCACACGTCTTGATCTGCAGCAGCTCCGTATTGCAGTCCCCCTCCGCCTTGCTGCTCCTATCCACACTGTTCACAGTTGTATTTGCGGCGAGGCAGATGCAGACGAAAATATGGATTGCATGGCCTGCACTGTGGAAAATCACGCAGTTGGCACTCACGACATGACAAAGTCAATGACATCATTAAGAAGAGCCTTGCCTCTGCCCAGTGTCCAGCAGAGAGAGAGCCTCGCAATCTATTGAACCATAACTTCGTTAGCTTTGCTCACCGACGTGATGAAATCACACTGCACCCTTGAAAGAATAGCAGACATTTGGCATGGAACTACACTTGTGTATCCACCCTGGCAGCCACATACATCAACCTCTCTGTCTGCCAAGCGGGAGCTGCAGCGACACACAGAGAAAGAGACAAGTCAGCCAAGTACAGGGAAATAGATCACCAGTACAACTTCTTTACAATAGGATCCGAGACCCCTTGGTCCATATAGGGAGAGATCACAAGAAGGTTTCTTAAGGATCTTGGTTCCAGGCTCATTGAAATTACAAGAGACCCTAGAGCGGCAGCAAGTTTTCTCTTCCAGTGCCTCAGTGTCACGATCCAGAGGGGGAATGCCCACTGCATCCTTGGTTCCTGCCGAGGAATTCTTTGGGGCACAGAATGAGGTGATTTGATAAAATGCTATGCCCAAGATTACCATCACAATCATGTTTTGTCCGGTCGTGACGGTTGAGTGGTTAAGGTGTCCTGTACACCAGTTGCAGGGTGCTCCTGGCAGTATGGGTTAGTCACTTCTGGGGTGTGAGTTTTCAGTTGCATATATGCCTGGGGACCATTCAGGCTTGTTCGCATATATATATATATATATATATATATATATATATATATATATATATATATATATATATATATATATATATATATATATATATATATATATAATATATATATAATATATATATATATATATAATTAGGAGCTGAGCAACAGGTCGGCTCCGAAACAGCTTCACTTAACTTACGATTACGTCAGTACTGTAATTTAATTGTCAAATTATAACGAAATATGTTCTATATTTCTAAACCACCGATAGCGACACCCTTGTGGGTGATTACACCACCAGAGGCGCCATCTGTCGGGTAGTTTGGTCACACCATCACTGAATGTCTGGTGGGAGAGTGTGAAGAATTGTCGTAAGCATTGTCCAATTATGACGTAATACTGTAGTGGTGACCCCTAAGCAATAGGTAGCTATCATTTGCTTTAAGAGGCGTTGATAGACACCACTGATGCTGTATTTTCTACCCAAAAAGACTTTTGGGAAGATAATACAGCTATCTATTTGGGTAGATAATTTTTGTTTTTGTTTTTAAGAGTTATCATTAGACGCACCTTACATCTACCGCGAGGGTTTTAAAAAAGTTTTACTTAAATTGAAGCAAAGAAAACGGATGAGGGGGAATACTAGTGGTAAAGTTTTGATTTAGAGAAGACTTTGAGAAATTTTTATTTAGAAGGCTTCTCGCTATGTTGTTGTGCTTCTTCCATATTGCTGTAGGGGGTGGGGGCGTGTACTGGGGTCTGGCGTGTATTGAGGGCTGGCGTGTACTGGGGGCCTGCGAGTACTGGGGTCTGGCGTGTATTGAGGGCCGGCGTGTACTGGGGGCCCGGCGTGTACTGGGGTCTGGCGTGTATTGAGGGCCGGCGTGTACTGGGGCCCGGCGTGTACTGGGGCCCGGCGTGTACTGGGGCCCGGCGTGTACTGGGGCCCCGGCGTGTACTGGGGCTGACGTGCACTGGGGGCCGACATGTACTGGAGGCCGGCGTGCACTGGAGACCAGCGTGCACTGGGGGCCGGCGTGCACTGGGGGCCGGCGTGCACTCGGGACCGGCGTGCACTGGGGGCCGGCGTGCACTCGAGACCAGCGTGCACTGGGGACCGGCGTGCACTGGGGGCCGGCGTGCACTGGAGACCAGCGTGCACTGGGGACCGGCGTGCACTGGGGGCCGGTATGTACTGGGGGCCGACGTGTACCGGGGGCCGGCCTTGGAGACACCGTTGGAGAAGCGTTTGAGCACAAGGTTCTCCAACCCGCACCCCTCAGGAAGGAGACAAGAGTGGGGATAAGACTGGTATTGATGCTGGGTTGATTACGCTCGTGGCGGCACCAGCAGCTCTCGCCATGGTGCAGTTATAATAAGCTCAACCACGCATTGCTTTCATAGATTAAAACGTTTTTTTTATCCAGGTGGACATGTAAGTGTGCAGGTGTGGCGGAGTGTGGACCAGTGCAGGTGTGGCGGAGTGTTGACCCGTGCAGGTGTGGCTAGACGTAAACACTAGAAGGATCTAACTGCCACACCCGCACCATGGGAATAATTTAATGTCCTGGCTAGGGAAGTAAACAACACTACAGGTTTGTGTTGAGCGCCGATGGTGATGAAAATCGACGTCTTGCTCGGCCCCAAATGAACTGCAAATATATTCCAGTTTTTCATTCAGTATGTCCTAGATGAACCGGTTTAGTGTTGGACTCTAGGCCTATTGCCCGCAGGAGGGTCTTTAAGGCCGCAACAATAGCTGACTGACTAACCAGCAAGTATACTTTAGTTCTGAACTTAATTCAGAAATAATGTAAATGCTTAGTATAACAAGCTATGACGATTGTAAATGATGATGTGAAAATACCCTCCGAGGTCTAATTATGACCTTTTGTGCCCTCTGTAATCCTTTTTTTTTGCGCTACCGCTCGCAGAATGAGTATTGGGTGCACCACAACCTTGCCACCTCTGAGAGCAACATTCACATCTTGGTGTATAAACACCGGGAGGCAAAACACTACAGTTGGTTTGGTGTTGGGTTTAAATCCTATCAACCTCTGAAAGATTAAGTTCATCTAATTAACTTTCCAATCAACCAGTAAACATTTTTTACTCTGGAATATATCCCACAACTAGTTAACGTTCAGTCACGGGAGACGTCTCCCTTCACGCAGGGTGCAGTCGCACCTCCACAGAGCTCCAGTATCATCTATTGATACTGGTAATGGCTCCAAAGGGCCACCACTTACCGGCTATTCATGCCCGTGCCACCTTTTGGGTGGCTTAATCTTCATCAATCAATCAAACTTTCAGTAACACATACCGAGCAGCAAAGGAACAGTATGCATCTTTAGAGAGTACACATACCTTACACATTCATGTTCGACCGCCCGAGAGTGCCCAAGGATATAAGCTACTGCTGACACGCGGGCAGGCAGTAAACCAGTTTATAAAAGGCTTTAAGGGATAACTGCACTAAATACGATATACATATATATATTTTTTTTTTTTGGGGGGGGGGGGGAGCTTGTGTGGGTTGGTATGTGAATCATTCTGTTTATTGTTTCTTAATATTTTTCCCACCTCCAGTATTTAGTTTTAAAAATGAAGAAGTGTACCTTTCCCAGACTAATCAACATCGCTGTAGGTTACAGCTAGGCGACCCGCTATTTAGTACGGCAGTTTTATGACGTTACAAATTCAGAGGCCGGGCTGGAGCTCTGTATAGCGACCCACCTCCCCTGCAGCACCTACAATAACCGCTTTCATTCGTCTCGTTAACGGTGAAACTATTAGGCTTCCTGGTGCCCATTTTTTCCTCATCCTGAGAGAACGGAGGTTTCTCTTCTACATATTCCCAAGACACCTCTCTAACGACAGGCTAGCAATACAGTACTGCGTCCCGTTTGACTTGTTTTAGGGTGATCATTTGTTATGTGTTGTATTTGTGGCTAAGCCGGTTATTAAGATGTGTTGGCTCTCATTATATGTGTTGGTTAGAATAAGCATCTGGCTTGATCAAGAATATATCTTAATAATATACTGCAAATCTAATCTCTCTAGAATTTGAAATGTCAATGGGTACTGCGTCAGCGATGGATAAACAGTTTTACGTTAGTGGTGGTATAGTCTTGAATCAATGGTGGATAAACGCCACTTATATTACGTCAGCGGTGGATGAACAGTATTGTCAATGGTATATAAACTATATTTTGGGAAATATTTCCCACATAATTAATTACGTAATAAATATTTGTAATAATATAGCTAAGAGGATTCGTCCACTGTTCATAATCATTTTAGTTAAGTTATTATTTATGAACAGTAGCCAATAGCACTGGCGCCAGTAGCCAGATATTTAAATCTGGCGCCATAATTCTGCCACAACCTTCCCACTGTTATGAGACAACGAAAGCAACGTAACTCTTGATTCTCATTATTAATCAAAGTGTAAGAAATCAGAGTTAACATTTTAAAGGTCGATTAGATTATTAAAATAAAATTAATCTTAAGACCAGAAATAATTTAACAGCCACTCCCGATTTGAAAATCAGTCGCTAATTTCACGCACAAACACGAGTTGGGGAGGGAGGAAGGAGGCCATCTTGACCATGGCAGCCAGCTGCTGCTACACGCGTTGACGAGCTCCGCACCTGATGGACCATTATGACTCCCTTAGAGGAAGAAGGCCGTTCAGAAGTCCATGTTCGACGTGCCACGGTCCGACCTTAACTAACGCTAAGGGGATCGCTTACGGGATTGACAACTGAGATAAATACGTGAGTGAATAAGTGTAAACAATGTCTCCGTGGTGTAGTGGTAAAACACTCACCTGGCATTCCGCGAGCGCTTTGTCATGGGTTCGTATCCTGGCCGGGGAGGATTTACTGGGCGCAAATCCTTAACTGTAGCCTCTGTTTAACGCAACAGTAAAATGTGTACTTGGTTGTAACAACGATTCTTCGCGGCGGGGATCTTATTCCAGGGACCTGCCCGAAACGCTACGCGTGCTAGTGGCTGTACAAGAATGTAACAACTCTTGTATATATCTCAAAAAAAAAAATATGAAAACATCAAGTGAACAAATCCACAAGGGCCGTGATGAGGATTCGAACCTGCGTCCGAGAGCATCCCAGACGCTGCCTTAATCGACTGAGCTACGACATGGTCAAAGTGCATTGGGGTGGGGGGAGTTGTGTAAAACCCTGGTTTGTGCCTGGGAGAGGCTGCAGGATCCAGTAAGTTCAGTAGAACTTCTGTTTCATCTCCTTTTGACCATGTCGTAGCTCAGTCGATTAAGGCAGCGTCTGGGAAGCTCTCGGACGCAGGTTCGAATCCTCGTCACGGCCCTTGTGGATTTGTTCATTTGATAGCTCACGCAATTGTGATTTCTGTGTGAAAACATCAATATAATTTGTGTATTTCTCGCTTAACTCTGCACTGTATCCCGCGCCCCTTGGGAGCCTCGGGAACCCCTTGGGAGCCTCGGGAACCCCTGGGAGCCTCGGAAACCCCCTGGGAGCCTCGGAAACCCCCTGGGAGCCTCGGAAACCCCCTGGGAGCCTCGGAAACCCCCTGGGAGCCTCGGAAACCCCCTGGGAGCCTCGGAACCCCCCTGGTAGCCTCGGAAACCCCCTGGGAGCCCCCCTGGGAGCCTCGGGAGGCCCCCTGGGAGCCTTGCCACTAACCATCAGACGAGGCTAGTCACAGCCGCGTATATAGAGTTGCTGGAGTTTGTGACCATAATCACTACTACCATTATGATTGATCTGACCAGATAAGAAGAGTTATATTAACTATCCCCATTCAGATAACACAGGAATTAAATACTACCAAACTAATTACTACACATTAAACTTCAATAATGTTAAACAAGTACGAGTCCTGTTCTGTGCGAACCAACACTAACACAATTCAACTCCCCAACGTGACAATTAAATTTGCCTATGCTATACACTCCACTACAAAATACTTAAATATATTGTCCACTTATAATAAAATAAAGTGACAAACAAACTTGACCACATAATCCACGAGTATAACGCAGGTGGTGGATAGACAGTATTTCGTCAGTGGTGGATACATTTTCTTAAGCCTGTGGTGGTTAAACAGTATTGCGACAGCGGTAGATTAGTAGTTGATAAACAGGTTTTCATCAGTGGTGGATAAACAGTACTCACCTAGTTGTACTCGTCTAGTTGTGCTTGCGGGGGTTGAGTCCAGTTGGACTGTTGGACTGGCTCTTTGGTCCAGGGCCTCAATCAACTGGTGTACAGATTGCTGAGCCTATTAGGTTCTTAGTCTTATTATCATCGATCTAAGACCTATTAGTCTTAGGTCAGCGGTGGATAAACAGTATTGCGTTAGCGGTGGATAAACGGTATTACGTCAGCATTGGATAAACGTAATACCGTTTATCCACCGTCTCTGATACCGTAATACCGTTTATCCACCGTCTCTGATACCGTAATACCGTCTCTGTGTCTCTCTCTGTCTCTCTCTCTGTCTCTCTCTCTCTCTCTCTCTCTCTCTCTCTCTCTCTCTCTCTCTCTCTCTCTCTCTCTCTCTCTCTCTCTCTCTCTCTCTCTCTCTCTCTCTCTCTCTCTCTCTCTCTCTCTCTGTCTCTCTCTCTCTGTCTCTCTCTCTCTCTCTCTCTCTCTCTCTCTCTCTCTCTCTCTCTCTCTGTCTCTCTCTATCTCTCTCTCTCTCTCTCTCTCTCTCTCTCTCTCTCTCTCTCTCTCTCTCTCTCTCTCTCTCTCTCTCTCTCTCTCTCTCTCTCTCTCTCTCTCTCTCTCTCTCTCTCTCTCTCTCTGTCTCTCTCTCTCTCTCTCTCTCTCTCTCTCTGTCTCTCTCTCTCTCTCTCTCTGTCTCTCTCTCTCTCTCTCTCTCTCTCTCTCTCTCTCTCTCTCTCTCTCTCTCTCTCTCTCTCTCTCTCTCTCTCTCTCTCTCTCTCTCTCTCTCTCTCTCTCTCTCTCTCTCTCTCTGTCTCTCTCTCTCTCTCTGTCTCTCTCTCTCTCTCTGTCTCTCTCTCTCTGTCTCTCTCTCTCTCTCTCTCTCTCTCTCTCTCTCTCTCTGTCTCTCTCTCTCTCTCTCTCTCCTCTCTCTCTCTCTCTCTCTCTCTCTCTCTCTCTGTCTCTCTCTCTCTCTCTCTCTCTCTCTCTCTGTCTCTCTCTCTCTCTCTCTCTCTCTCTCTCTCTCTCTCTCTCTCTCTCTCTCTCTCTCTCTCTCTCTCTCTCTCTCTCTCTCTCTCTCTCTCTCTGTCTCTCTCTGTCTCTCTCTCTGTCTCTCTCTCTGTCTCTCTCTCTGTCTCTCTCTCTGTCTCTCTCTCTGTCTCTCTCTCTCTCTCTCTCTCTCTGTCTCTCTCTCTCTGTCTCTCTCTCTCTCTCTCTCTCTCTCTCTCTGTCTCTCTCTCTCTCTCTCTCTCTCTCTCTCTCTCTCTCTCTCTCTCTGTCTCTCTCTCTCTCTGTCTCTCTCTCTCTCTGTCTCTCTCTCTCTCTGTCTCTCTCTCTCTGTCTCTCTCTCTCTCTCTCTCTCTGTCTCTCTCTCTCTCTCTCTCTCTCTCTCTCTCTCTGTCTCTCTCTCTCTCTCTCTCTGTCTCTGTCTCTCTCTCTCTCTCTCTCTCTCTCTCTCTCTCTCTCTCTCTCTCTCTCTCTCTCTCTCTCTCTCTCTCTCTCTCTCTCTCTCTCTCTCTCTCTCTCTGTCTCTCTCTCTCTCTCTCTCTCTCTCTCTCTGTCTCTCTCTCTCTCTCTCTCTCTCTCTCTCTCTCTCTCTCTCTCTCTGTCTCTCTCTCTCTGTCTCTCTCTCTCTCTCTCTCTCTCTCTCTCTCTCTCTCTCTCTCTCTGTCTCTCTCTCTCTCTCTCTCTCTCTCTCTCTCTCTCTCTCTCTCTCTCTCTCTCTCTCTCTCTCTCTCTCTCTCTCTCTCTCTCTCTCTCTCTCTCTCTCTCTCTCTCTCTCTCTCTCTCTCTCTCTCTCTCTCTCTCTCTCTCTCTCTCTCTCTCTCTCTCTCTCTCTCTCTCTCTCTCTCTCTCTCTCTCTCTCTCTCTCTCTCTCTCTCTCTCTCTCTCTCTCTCTCTCTCTCTCTCTGTCTCTCTCTCTCTCTCTCTCTCTCTCTCTCTCTCTCTCTCTCTCTCTCTCTCTCTCTCTCTCTCTCTCTCTCTCTCTCTCTCTCTCTCTCTCTGTCTCTCTCTCTCTCTCTCTCTCTCTCTCTCTCTCTCTCTCTCTCTCTCTCTCTCTCTCTCTCTCTCTCTCTCTCTCTCTCTCTCTCTCTCTCTCTCTCTCTCTCTCTCTCTCTCTCTCTCTCTCTCTCTCTCTCTCTCTCTCTCTCTCTCTCTCTCTCTCTCTCTCTCTCTCTCTCTCTCTCTCTCTCTCTCTCTCTCTCTCTCTCTCTCTCTCTCTCTCTCTCTCTCTCTCTCTCTCTCTCTCTCTCTCTCTCTCTCTCTCTCTCTCTCTCTCTCTCTCTCTCTCTCTCTCTCTCTCTCTCTCTCTCTCTCTCTCTCTCTCTCTCTCTCTCTCTCTCTCTCTCTCTCTCTCTCTCTCTCTCTCTCTCTCTCTCTCTCTCTCTCTCTCTCTCTCTCTCTGTCTCTCTCTCTCTCTCTCTCTCTCTCTCTCTCTCTCTCTCTCTCTCTCTCTCTCTCTCTCTCTCTCTCTCTCTCTCTCTCTCTCTCTCTCTCTCTCTCTCTCTCTCTCTCTCTCTCTCTCTCTCTCTCTCTCTCTCTCTCTCTCTCTCTCTCTCTCTCTCTCTCTCTCTCTCTCTCTCTCTCTCTCTCTCTCTCTCTCTCTCTCTCTCTCTCTCTCTCTCTCTCTCTCTCTCTCTCTCTCTCTCTCTGTCTCTCTCTCTCTCTCTCTCTCTCTCTCTCTCTCTCTCTCTCTCTCTCTCTCTCTCTCTCTCTCTGTCTCTCTCTCTCTCTCTCTCTGTCTCTCTCTCTCTCTCTCTCTCTCTCTCTCTCTCTCTCTCTCTCTCTCTCTCTCTCTCTCTCTCTCTCTCTCTCTCTCTCTCTCTCTCTCTCTCTCTCTCTCTCTCTCTCTCTCTCTCTCTCTCTCTCTCTCTCTCTCTCTCTCTCTCTCTCTCTCTCTCTCTCTCTCTCTCTCTCTCTCTCTCTCTCTCTCTCTCTCTCTCTCTCTCTCTCTCTCTCTCTCTCTCTCTCTCTCTCTCTCTCTCTCTCTCTCTCTCTCTCTCTCTCTCTCTCTCTCTCTCTCTCTCTCTCTCTCTCTCTCTCTCTCTCTCTCTCTCTCTCTCTCTCTCTCTCTCTCTCTCTCTCTCTCTCTCTCTCTCTCTCTCTCTCTCTCTCTCTCTCTCTCTCTCTCTCTCTCTCTCTCTCTCTCTCTCTCTCTCTCTCTCTCTCTCTCTCTCTCTCTCTCTCTCTCTCTCTCTCTCTCTCTCTCTCTCTCTCTCTCTCTCTCTCTCTCTCTCTCTCTCTCTCTCTCTCTCTCTCTCTCTCTCTCTCTCTCTCTCTCTCTCTCTCTCTCTCTCTCTCTCTCTCTCTCTCTCTCTCTCTCTCTCTCTCTCTCTCTCTCTCTCTCTCTCTCTCTCTCTCTCTCTCTCTCTCTCTCTCTCTCTCTCTCTCTCTCTCTCTCTCTCTCTCTCTGTCTCTCTCTCTCTCTCTCTCTCTCTCTCTCTCTCTCTCTCTCTCTCTCTCTCTCTCTCTCTCTCTCTCTCTCTCTCTCTCTCTCTCTCTCTCTCTCTCTCTCTCTCTCTCTCTCTCTCTCTCTCTCTCTCTCTCTCTCTCTCTCTCTCTCTCTCTCTCTCTCTCTCTCTCTCTCTCTCTCTCTCTCTCTCTCT